AACCGCGTGGGAGGAACAAGAGGATGAGACTGGCACCTCCCTGAGGAATTCACACTGTTGTGGCTGGGGGACTTTGGGGGATGGGGGTTCCGTCTTGGGAGGTTCTTTCTAGAGGTTGTAGCTAATAAACATAACTGGGCTGAATTGGCATGGTCTCTTGGAGTTCCTTGGGCTAGGCCTGACACATATATAGGTTAATATGTGTGCATGGGGGGGATCGCTCTCTCCCTCCCTCCTTACCTTGGTGAGCACACAGGTAGCAGGGTGCCTCCGATCACCGGTCACTCTAGTCTCCAGTTTCTTCAGCCATACCCAGTCTCCCTGCCCAAAGAGAGCAAGGGTTTTTAAACCAAAGTACACATCACGACCTGGTTTTATGTAATTCCACAATTCACCTTTTGATTTTTGAAAGTTTCAGGTTTTCCCCTTGGAGGGGACTAACCTTGTTAGTGTACAAATGCTGATTCTTCAGTCCCTGAGTTTGATCCCCTTGAAGCAAATAGGAAGGTTCACCTGTATTCTAAAGGTGTCTTATTTGGCCTGAGTGGTACCATCAAGGAAGCCAAACTATTTTGGATTGAGGCTGTCACCTTCCAGACCGGCACACCTTCCTATATGCTTCAAGAGGATCACCAGAAGGTGGAGGAGAAGCCACCAAATTTAACAACTTTAAAAGGGGATTTGAGAAGTTCATGGAAGGAACAATTAGCAGTAGCCTCTAGTCATGATGGCCATAAAGGATGGCCATTTTCTAGAAAATACAAGCAAGGGGGTGTGATTGCATTCATGACCTACTTGCAGGGATAAGCCCCAAAGCAACTATGGGAACAGGTAAGTCCAGATGAATCCTTTCGTTTATCCAGAATAATTTCTTGTCCTTATGACTGATACAACTTGGTCTGGTGGTGGCATGCGTGAATGCCTCTTTTTAAAAAGTGAAGCTCTCCCATAAGTTGGGTTGGAGGATATAGAAATCAATCCCTGTAGAGAACAGAGGGAATGGCCTTGAAGGACAGAAGGAAGAGTTGCTACCAAGGCAATGGCCAGATAAACGAGGATTGAGCCCAGAGCAAGAATATAACTTGAAAAATGTCTTAGACAGGTCTCTCCCTAGTTCACACAAAGGGAAGGAGCACATTCAGACTTGCAGGTTTCTGTTACTATAGCTTTACAATAAGAATAATATTAGCCTGCATGACTTTGGTTTCCTAGTCTGGTCTACCTCAAAGGGCTGACAAGGGAAGAGGGAATGGCCTTGAAGGACAGAAGGAAGAGCTGCTACCAAGGCAATGGCCAGATAAACAAGGACTGAGCCCAGACCAAGAATGTAACTTGAGAAAAATGTCTTAGACAGGCACCTCCCTAGGTCACACAAAGATAAAGGGAGGGAGAGGGAAGCACATTCAGACTTGCAAGATTCTGTTACTATAGCTTTACAATAAAAGTAATCCTGGACTACATGGGATTGGTTCCTTGGTCTGGTCTACCTTGTTGGGCTACCACTCCCCCATTTTTGTCTGTAGCACTAGTCTGGGCTTTATCCATGTAGATGAAGAAGGATCTCCAGAAATACTCATTGCCCATATTTAATCAAAAGTTCCATTACCTCATACACAGCCACATTAGAGGTTTCATAGGTAAGAGTTGTGCTTTTCACCGACAACGAACGGGTCACAGATCTCAGGCTGTGTACTTCTGAGCCGCTCCTGGTCTCACTGAGGTTGTCGAGAGTTAACCTCTGTGAAAGCAATTACAGCCAAAAAGTAACCAACGAAAAATATTCCTTTTACCAACCTTCCATCTTTCATCATTTTTTCACTGCAAATACGTTGAGAAGCTCTTTTATTATTAGCACAGTCCCTGACTGGTTAGCATCAACTATAGACAGGGTTAAGGAAGAAAAGCTTTTTCTCAGCCCAGTGGGCTTCATTTGTTATTTTATATCTATCTACCTATCTACCTATCTATCTCAACCAAGAAAAAGAAGGAAAATGAATAAAGGGTCAAAAAAGAAATAGAAAAGAGATTTACAAGCTGTATAAAACTGAATAAGAATGTTTAAAGTAAAATGACATTAGTACTGCGCATAATGGTGAATTTTTATCCATTTAGCATCTTTGTTATTGTCTGTAATAAGCTTAGCACGCAAACGACTCGAATTGGTTATACCACTTTGTGACATCATAATATCTCGTACATGATTGCGGACAGCCAGGGATCACTTGAAAAGGAATGTAACAGAGGGGAAAACCCCATCAAAGCAGTAGCAGAATATAAAAAACATGGCTGAGAATAGATGCTTAAGACAAAATATCAAGGACTTTGGAGAACTGCTCCCTTGAAATGACGACCTTTGAAAGAAGGAGGAGAAGGAGAAGAGAGATCAGACTTGAAGGACTACTTAGAACCAGTCTCAATATGATTTTCTAGCTTAAGTTGCTTTCTTCATAAAAGCCATTTATTCTATTAACATCCTTTGAAATTTCTCAATGTTTCATGTACTTGCACAAAGGTCTTAAATTTATGCTTCCAATTTTGTTTTAGATTAAATTCCCACACCATATGCAACAGGAGCACCTGCAGAGGAGGTCAAGAAAGCCAGGATGGCAAGGGTGACCCCATGATCGAAGGCCCGCCTCTTTTTAAAGATGCAGCTGGCTTTGAAGGCACAGTCAGGGCCATTCTCTTGACTTTCTTGACCCCTGTGCAGACACCCCTTCAGTGTGTCAATGTGAGACGGTCTCATATTACCTACCATTCTACTGATTTTGGTGTTCACAAAAGTCAGATCATCTAAAGTCAGTAATAGCTTCTGCGATCCTTTGACAACTTGGCGACTGGGGTTACTGTTCCTGAAAAAGGGATCAAAAACATGCATAGATCTTTGGCCACAATCCCAACTGCTTTCATTTTTACTTACTGAAAACAATCGTTTAGCACTTCTCATTTTAAAAACCCAACGTATCATGGAACCGCTGCACCCATGGTCACCTTTGGGGGGAAAAACTGTTGAACGCAGAGCACCCTAGGGGTGCCATAGCAGAGTGGATGGTCTAAAAGGGTTGCCAACTGCTTTTAGGAGCTTTGCTTCTATGCGTTGAAAAGCACCGGAGACTGAGCAGTTCTGCTTCTCCTGGCCTTGGAAAAGCTTCATGGCTTAATTCCAGCTGGGCAAGATGCTGTTCTAATGCAGGAAAGTGTGTGGTTGTTTTAAATGCGGAGAATAAGGAATCACGGAAGCATTTCATTGGGGTTTTACATGCATGGATCAGAGATTTCATTAGACATCATCAGAGATATCATGGATCAGAGATTTTAGCAAAGGAAGGGGTTCTGGTCTACAGCATGGGTGGCCCAATCCAGTGGAAGCTGAAAGGAAAGTCAGAACAGATAATACAGATCAGATCAGATCAGATCAGATCAGATGCACAACCCAATCAGAGCTAAGCCTCATGCTGCGAATGCAATGAACATCTCCTAAGATCTTCTGAATGCTACAAATAGTGTTGTTAAATCAGCTTGTCTCCTTTCAGCTGAGGTTGTTTTCAGCCAAAACCCACTCAGCAATTTAGTTCCAGGTGCAAAAAAGTCAGGAAAGTGATGGGACCTCAAGGAAGCCTTCTGCTGCAAGAAAAAATTCAAGCTTGGGTCATTGGCCATGACAGAGTAGGGGATGAAGGACGAAGAAGAGACAGAAGTCCCAAAATTGGAACACCTAGCTATTATTTCTTCATAAATTAACCTGAGAACTGACATCATGGATCAAATTAAAATATTCCCAACTAATACTAATGGCTGAATAGCCCATTTAAAAGGGGGGAAACTTTTTTGAAGTGTATGGCACCTTTTATTTCCCAAGTTTCAATAAAGCCAAATAAAGAGACTTGAGACGAGG